GAAAGGGGTGGGGGAGTGGGGTGGGGGTAGACTGTGACTGCCTGTGTCCTGTTTGGCTGCCAGCTAACGATCACAACCAGGAAAGACAGTACAGCCTAATGTTGGGCATGTACAATACAAAACGTCTAGGACTTCAGATGCTTTTCTTCTCCAGACCAAAAGGGCAGGCCACCATGTCATGAAAATGACATGTGATTTACATAAGACCAGAAAGGATTCCTGTTGAATGTTAAAACAAATAGAACCCAGTATTGAACAATTATGATTATTCCTGGATATATCATGTATAGCTCCTAAGTTCTGTACCATTGCTAAGGAAGTTCATCCAGCGTTCAACACATGCGTGGATGCTGATCTGACTTCTTTGCTACACGCAGTCACTGGTAGCACCACAAATGAAGGGTCCTACCATTCCCAGAACAGTCTGTACTGCTTGCTTTCATCATGTTCCTGAACTGCTTCCTGAAAAAACTCCTGACTCTTTCCTGGAGTTCACAGAGACTTTCCTGAGGAGATGCTCAGTGATAGAGTCATCCCTTGGCAGGGACAATAGAGCAGCTGGAAAGGTTTAGCACTACAGTTCTAGGGGTAAAGACTAAATCCTATTTCTGTTGATGTGAGAGAGGTAAATACAATATTAGAGCTAAATCTTGATTTGATTTCAGATAGTTTTCTTTTAATAAGAAAGTTCTTGTAAGATTGGAAGCATACATTTGGGAGATATTTTTTACTTGGTTTTGTTTGTGAGAGTTACATCATCATCCAAGAATACTGGTAATGCCATGCCATGAGCACTAATAACAAAAAGACTAGAAAAAACAGCTGCATGGAAAGAAGAGTGTTAACTTCTTGTAGAATTGTTCTCCCAGCAAAACAGAGGTTTTTTTCTAGTAATCCAGTACAATTACCAAAGAAAACCTGCTTCAAACTTAGTTGTGGAAACAAAACAATCAGTAGTAACAGAATTTACTTACTAGGCAAGGCAGAAAAGGAGTTAGTGATAAGTCTTATTCTTTGACAAATTACTTACATAATACTATTCTAAAATGCTGATTATGAATGCTTAACTTTTTCTCTTTTCTAGTTAGCTGCTAATATGGAAAACTATGGTGTGAGACTCAACACAATTTGTCCAGGATTTGTCAACACACCAATTCTTCAGTCAATAGATAAAGAAGAGAATATGGGACAATATTATTCATATAAGGATGAGATCAAAAATATGATGCAGTTCTACGGCGTGATGGAGTAAGTCAAGTCAGATACAGTGGTTTTTTGCCCTTTGTTAATGAAGAACAAGCATACACAATAGCACTTTCAGTAAAATTAAAATAAAAAGGAAATGCTGCCTCAGATAAAAGTCTATCAAATGGGTTATCCTGTATACCAGGAACAAATGTCAGATACCTAAGGCTATTTTAAGAGTATCGCCTACATAGTGATATTTTCCCTTTATGCTTTCCTATTTCCCAGCAAAGTGCAAATGAAATTCACAAGTTAAAGATGGTGTATTAGGTTTTTAATATCCCTTGATGTTCTTCCATAAATTTGTTTAATTAAACTTGTTGTGAGATACAGGGTATATAATTTGTATCGCATTTCCCCAATATTTGCAAGTGAACCAAGACAGAAGTCAGATAAATAACTAACTGGACTAAGTTCATAAGAGCACAGTAGTGACAATGGTGGATTAAATCAAAGATTTACCTAGCCCATAATGGTATTGCCAACAAAGGCCAAAAGCAGACAGATGGGAAAAATTGTGAGAACAAGACAAGCATAAAGTGATACTTTTTTAACATTTTCTGTCTCTAACAGTTAGCTGCTCACATACTTCTGCACAAAGGAAATTGTATGACTGTTGTTTCACCCACACTTTTTCATATATAAAATATATTGCACCTATTGACCAGAGCAAATTGCATGTGACAAAATTCTCCTTATGTTAATTTGTATGTCATTCCTGATACAGAAACAGGATAAATCAACAGCAAAGATCTGCAGAGGATTGTATAAGGATTAGTTCTGCCCTGACAGCGAAAACTTTGATAGGAAGCCCAGTGGCAGCTGGATGTCCACAGGGATTTATCAGTAATTAAAGCAAACAAATGATTTGTGAAGTTGTTGCTTTACAATGTATGTTCTGATCAAGGAGCCTGAATTTCTCTCCTGAAACACTCATACCACCTCTGTTTTTCTTGAAAATAAATTTGCTCAAATACCAGATTGTTTAATTTTCAGGGTATATAGATTTACATTGAATTTCTTTACTTGTCCTTTTCACATGTTCTGTTACATCATGATCTGAAATATCAATTTTTTTTTTCAGCCCATCAATAATTGCTGAGGGACTGATAACAATAATTGAAGATGATACTCTGAATGGAGAAGTTATGAAGATTACAGCATCCCAAGGGATTCATTTTCAACAATACAACCAAACACCTTTTACATCATCAAAGAGATAAATAATTGTTTTATACTAATTATTTTTGGCAATTCTTAAATATAAAAAAATTTAAAGAGAGTACTTTTGGGGAAAAAAAAAGTTAGTGTAGAATCTAGAACAGTGACAGTGTTGAAATATTTGTATCCTAATAACAGAGAGATGAACAAGGAAATCTGGTGTTGGAAGATGTTACCATCTTATTTTGATTCTATAAACACTAATAATAGTATTTCTTCAGTAGAATAAATACTTTGCCCTGAAAATCTTTGATTATGTAGTAATAGGGACCAGTTTTTTTCCTTCTGGTAGTTCTCAGCTACATGCTCCAATTGCATTCTGGTGGACCTGACTTAGTTTGTATAATTCCTTTCACTGTTGTAAGTGTCTACGTATTTACATCTTGAATTCTTCAGACCAGGAATTCAGTTCAGGAATCTAGAACACAAATACACCTATAAGGAGTAAAGAATTTATTTTTTCTTAGGAAATGTAAAATAGAACAAGAGGAAAAATTCTCTTTCTTCATTTATATATGCAACTGAATACGTTGCATATCACATAAGAAAGTATAGATTTTTTTATCTTCTTAGATTTTAGCTATTTATAAAATAGATCAGAAATATTTTTGCTTTCTTTTATAGATATATATGTGAATTTTTCTCTCTCTGTATATACAAGGATGAATACTTTGGCATTGATTGAAATGCCTACTTACTAATTAAATCTCATTTTCTAAACCTTTAAATCTAATTACTTGCCCTGATTGATTAAAAACTCAATTAAATCTTGAATAATCTGGGTTTTTTGTATTTTTTATATGTCCATTTTGGAATCTTGATACATATTCTTGGATGGAGCATGTCATATAGTGGCAATGAAAATAAAAAATGAGCTTCCTACCTCCTGAGTGCCACTGGATCTTCTGAATCCAGGTCAATCCCCAGCTACATTTATGAAACAAACCTTGGTAATCCATTGGTTGCATGCCTGACAAAAATAAATTTTTTACATGGTAACTTATTTAGGCTCATATCATAAGAAGATTCAATAACTCCTGGGAAAGTTAATATTTACCATCCTTAGGAGTACTGACTTTAATTTCACTGATGTAAGCATTGTATTTTTTCAGCATTGTAACTTAAAGAGTCGAAAGACTAATATTTACCTTCTGTGGAAGTCAGGGAGTAATAAGACTGTGGGAAGAAGAAAAGAAGCAGACACACATACCTTGAATTACTCATCGTTCTCCCCCCACCTCCATTTTTGGCTATGTTAAGATTATTTTTAAAGCCTACTTTGAATGCACACATGATGCTAGCGACACCATCAGCCTCCCTGAAATCATCTGTATATCCCTTTGGACTAACAACTACTATCTGATTTGATTGTAATAATTTCTACTTTTGTCTTATTAAAATCAGAGCATTTCCTAATAAGTGAAAGTGTAGTGCAAAAGGACTTAGGGCCTAACACTGATAATCATCTACCTCTGCTTCTGTCCTGGTTAGGCAGTATTTCAATGTAGTTTATAAACAAGGGAAGGTTTAACTATAATGACAGTATATGCAAATCATGTAACTAGCAAACACCACACTAAGTTAAATAGTAACTCAGCAGCTTCTTTTAATAACATACTTCAAATAATGATGTGAATATTGTAAATGTCACTATGCACATTGATGACATATTGTTGTTTTAACTGCTTTTGTTCATTTCTACTCCTTGCTGCCAAAAAAGAAATACCTGTTAAACAGGGAGCATTGAGTTTTCCAGGGGATCAATTAAAGAATATATAATTAAAGAATGTTAGTAATAAAAGGCCGGGATTCTGATGTACGCTCCCTGGAGGAAGAAAAGCAGAAAATTGAAAGTTAATTAGAGCCAATCACTTTAGACATTGCACAATTAACTTGTGGTATTGCACTGGTACAAAATTCTAATTCAGGGAACTGGCAGTATTTTAATAATGGATTCCATTTATGTGGTATATCAATAGTTACCCAAGACAAAATTAGATTAATAAAATATGTAATTAGACTCCACGACAACTGGAAAATCTGACCCTATATCTGGGAAAGAATTAAAGCCATATCTTTCTTATATGTAGAGGTCTGGTCTTCTGGATTATTTTTGTAACTCAAAGACAGAAGTTTTCAAATCAAAGCCATACAGAAAACTTCATGAAAGGCAGAAACTGCATTCACTTCCACCTGATAATCAAAAAAGGAAGTCTCAGAATGCAGTACATGCTCATTTGATCAAATAAACATTTATACTAAGATAAATCTCAAATTATTAGCACATCTGGAACTCACTGAAAGAAACAAGGAAATAACAATGAAGTAAAACTCTTGATGCAAATTCTAATAGGAAAAACTAATAGGAAAAATAGTCATCAAACTTCTACCTTTTAATTAAAAAAAAATAAAAATGCCCCAAACCAAATATTACAGTTTTCCAGCTTCAGTTAGTCTGTACTAAAACACATCTGAGTGTTTTATCTGCACAGGAAGAACAAGTCCTAAATATGTTTTGGAAAGGTTTTCTGTAAAACTTCCATCAACCTTTGGAAGTCTTCCAGAAAGCAAGAAAAAGAGCATATGTTTGATTTACAGACAGAGACACCCAGAGAAGCAGTAGGTAGAAAGATGAGTTAAAGGGAGAAAATAAGTTTCATTCCTGCAGAAAGATTGTTTTGAAACTTTGTATTCAGTTAAAAGTCTTGACATTATTCCAAGACTTAATTTATTTTGCCTGGGAGAT